GAAAATTCCCAAGAAGTTTATCGTAAATTTAATTCAAAATTTTTCAATAGTGCACTTGAAATTTCAGTAAATGAGTTATTTACACTAAATTTTCCATCCATTTTTTTCGAAAAATTTCGATTTCTGATCCTTGTGTCCCTGAGAGTCAAAATAGTTGGAAATTTGAGGAAATACATGAGCTAATTGTACCCGATAAATACGCACTTGACATTAGCACGCGATTCAAGTGGTTTCTGGGGCTTCTATCAGCATCAACGTGTCTGAAGAATGAGGAGGGTTGTACGATAATGTTTGCGTGTATGAAAACCCGAGTAGGGGATTTGAGTACACATACGTGAGGAGTGCACGCACTATAATAACGCATGGGAAAACACCAGTCCGCACATTGTTGCCTGAAAGCAGGAGTTATGCACTGTATCCATGCACCAGGTTATGACTATAGCCGTGGGCTAGGTTTTTGCAACAATTCCTTCAGCTTTGTTCGCATTTATTTATTTATATATATTTTTTCGTTTACTGCGTGGACTCTCTTTTTCTCTACCTTTGGGGCGTTTTTTTTTCGTACGCAGCGCTCGGATCGATTGTCATGCCACGCATGGCCCTCTGGCTCATTGACGAACGACGCACTGCTGGCTCAGGGACGTTCCTGACAGTTTCAGTGCCCTACGATTTATGATGATCGTAAAAAAAAAAAACGTAATACCGTCAGGCTTCCTTTGCAAGATCCTCGTCATTTTTCTTCCCGCAATTGTGAAAATATCGGTATTATCTTTATCTTCGGATAAACACCATTGTGGACATTGCGTCTATAACTATTGTGATTCATCACAAAATAAACACTGAGGCTCGCAAAAAGGAAATTGAGGGTTTGTTCTAAGTAAACACCAGATTTCTATGTAAAAAAGATGAAAAAAGGAAATGAAAAACCTATTGACAGGGGATGAGAAGGAGTATGGCGGAGGCAGGATGAGTAACGGATCGGTGAAAAAAAAAAAAAGATGAGGAGAAAAAAAAATAAAAGAAAAATAGGAAAGATGGAATAGAGAGTCTGTACATGAAGGATTTGCACAAGGGGGTAGACGCTGGGGAAATAAGGTAATACGTGCAGCTTTGTCTCGATCGGAGTAGTTCCGGGGAAAATGTTGGTGAGTGGAGGTGGTAGTGGGGGCGGAGGAGGAGGAGGGTGGAAGAAAGCAAAGCGAGAGAAGGAAAATGTACAGTAGCGAATGCCTTTCTGTTATTACCGGAGCACTCGGAAAGACACAAGGGGATATACCTTCTGCTCTGCATCAAACTGAAGTTATACTTTCACCACTGGGGGTGGAGGGGAGCAACAAGCCATGTTCTGACGTTACGATACGACCTGTACTGGGTTCTGGTAAATTTTGGCCCACCCAAGACGGTAAATAGCACTGATGCTTTGGGGAATTTCAGGGAAGTTGAATGAGAGATACGGAGAAATGATTTCACAGTCACGTGTTACTAGAAGTAAACTTTTTTTTCGAAATCGATTTAAAGAATTGTCAAATTTGATGAAAAATTGAAGATCATCTGCAAATAAAAAAATTTTCATCTGCAAAATTTAAATTTCGACTTATCAAAGAATTATAGAGGCAAAATGAGTCGTCTGCTTTGAATTTTGAACACAAATGCTCTGCTCGTTTTACGGAATTATTTAGAAGCCAGGGAATGTTCACGAATTAATGGAGAATATTTTATGTTTCCAATAGCAGACGCCTTGGACATTCTAAAATTAAACTTCATTCATTTTTCATCCAATTTCTCAATTTATTCATGACCGCCATGAGAGGACATAACCTTTTTCGTGTTTTAATGCTCAACCCATTATTGGACAGGTAATATAATGTCTTATTCTCGGGGATATCATAAGTTGGCCCAGGTGAAATTAAATTTACATAAGTGATTCGGCCCTCCTTCAATGCTCGTTTTCAGAATACTCGTGTTCTCAACTCATGAAAATATGGATTAACCGACGTGTATTCTCATCAGCCACAGTGAAAATCAATTAGGATATTATTCGCTCGGTTAATCATGTCAGCAGACGGAATAATACATTTAAATTTCTACGTTTGATTATTCTTTGGGGTCAGCAGCCACTCATCAGAAGCAGCCACTCTTAAATTATCGGTTCTCCATGAATAAATAACACTCTCTGAATGATGAATGTTTCGTCGGAGTGAGACCAAAACCGCCAATCATCTTGAATTATTCCTTACTCTCCAAACTCCCCTACCCCCTCCCTCCCCGTCTACTAATTCACAGACTTTGCATAAGTCATCATAACACCTGACGACTATTAATTTTTTAACGCGTCTAAGAATTGCCGCAGTGTGTCGATCGATCGGTCGTTAACCAACATTCCCAACCTATTGGTTAGGAATCTGTGATGGTATGTGTGTTGGTGGTTGACTATAGAGCTGGGAATAGAACGAGCGACCAGGGTAGTTGGGATGAAAGGAGAAGGGGGAAGGGGCAGTTGCAAGTTGACTGTATGTATAGGATGGTGAGAGTATGGAGAAGGCAGTGGGGAAGCTGATGGTATATAGAATCCAAAGGGGGTGGGGATGGGGATGGTGGGAGGCGTGGTAAACGTAGACCACGTTGGTTAGGTCAGGAGGTTCGGGAGTCGCAGCAGAGAGCCGATAAGGGCTTGCCAGGGCCCGGTCCGTTAACGACTATGTAAATTGACGGGTCTATTTATTCATCGTATCGAAACAATCCAGAAGAGATGAAGACATCAGGCCAATTTTCATAGGCAGTTTGTAGAGGCCTCATCTTTGCACTTGTACCTTTTCCCTCTTGTCTTTTCGAGGCTCTTTTTTTTCTACATTCAGGGTACTCCTCTTCTACTTCCTTATACCAATTATGCTAATTCACCATTAACGTTCGACTCATTATTCCTCTCGGATGCTCCATCACAGTGAGACACAACTGGGTGCGCTTTAATTCCATCGGGAGTATGGCTTCCGTCTCACGAATTCCATCGATGTGAAATGGAACGTGGCGTGACTCCTACCACCACCTGAGAGGCGCAGAAAAGTTGAAGGTGGGAGAGAGAAGACGGGAGGATGATTGGAAACGGCTCGAGATCCTCCTGGTGAGCCGGAAAAACGTTTCTCCTCGGTATAGCGTTCCTCGGCCTATTTAATTCCCTCTTCCTCTCGCTCATGATAATAATGTAGCGTCATCTTTACTCCAAACAATTTGATATTTTTTTTGTATTGTGAGAATTCTCAGAGACAACTTTTGAATATTTTTCGTTCAAGTGGCAGTTGGCAGTTCCAAAGAGGGAAGAGTACGATATATCGAGGCAGGATGTTGCAATGAAAAAGGCTAGTTTAACGTTGTACATCAACGTATATAGATTGTGATGCTGAGTAGAGCGCATGAGATGAACAGAGTGAGGGTGCTGCCTTGGGGTTCATTATTCAGGGCTATTGATTTCCATCCAAGCTCCCTTTTGCACCCCTTTCTACCCGCGGGCAACGCCGCACCGACGAGAAGCAACCGAACGCGGGTTTGAGCGAGACAGAATGAGATTGACGGGGTCTGTGTACTCGAAAAACGGCGGTGGATGGGAGGAAGAGGCCTCTCCCTTTCTTTCACATACTTTCTCCACCCATACATTCATTGATACTTTACATAGTACCTATGCCCGATACCTTTTTCCTCCACTATATGGATATAATCCAAAAACTTATCCACGCGTATATATATCTCTCTCTCGCTCTCTCTTGTCCTCTTGAAGGCCTCTTTTCCGCATCAACCTACATATCTGACTGACGTGTGCTTAAGCCAAGTGTCCTACTGTCCAAAACCCGTACCAATTGCCCGTACCCATAGTCCTCTCTACTTCAAGCACCGACTGTCAGTTCCTTTGAACTCTTGGACATTGTCAATTTCAACTCTACTCACAATCTAACCGTGAACCATGAGATAAAACAGTCATGTCCTTTGTAGCAAATGCACTTGTCTGATGCTCCGGAGAATTAATCAGAATGTATTCACTGTTTCAGTGACAATTTGACAATTGTTCTACTTTCAACGACAGTATTTCTGTCATGAATTGGTAAACCAGGATAAGTGATTTCCGCTTAGGGTCAATTATTGATGAATATCTTGGAAATGGATATAGTTAGAGAAATTTTTGTGAAGAGCTTTTTTAGAGCTGACATTTGGCTCTATAAAAACGATTTTCATGAAAATTTCGGTATCTTTCTTCGTTTTCAAGATATTCATCGATGATTGCGACTAAGCAAAATGCAGTTATCCTAGTTTACCAATTCACTACAGATTTCATTCATTTGAATGAAAAGTTGACGGAATTTTACGAAAACTTGTATTGCCTTCAGAGATAAAATTGAAGTGAAAGAGGAGTGAAAAAAATGCACTTGAATATCTTCAAAAAAATGTTTACAGTAGGCGCTTCGTGACAATCAGACATGGGGTGTGTACCCGGCAAAAGTGAAGTTAGACGGTTATATTGTGTATACACGTTGTGCGAGCTGGCTTGTGCCACACCGTCAACTGTCGGTGAGAAACGTAGGCGGAGGGGGTGGTACGAGGGGGTGGAGGGGGGGGGGGGGAGGGAGATTGTTATATACGCAAAAGCCTTGACGAGGGGGGTCAAAGGGCGTCGAATGGCGCCGGCGCGAGTAGAGCATAACTTCGGCATCGCTGAGAACCACCTCCGCGTGGTGGGTTTGTGACGTCAGCCGTTCTCAGTGTGCGGAGAGCGACCGTAGTGTGCACAATCTCCACGTTTATCGGTTATAACGACACTATTTCATTAACACTTTTCACAATTGCGTGTGTTTTTAATGCCAATTTATACATTTTTTTTTGTTGTTCAATATCTCAATGTGAATCACGTGATTGTGATAATTAATGGATTTAATGATTGAGTTGAGTATTGTTGAGGGAATAATAACAGTGAAAAAAAAAAAAGTTGAAATACGTTGAACAACGTGGACGCGTGTGTAAATAAATCAATGAGAGTAAAATCAATAGGCGTTTGTTGAAACTTTTTTTTTTTTTCATCATTTCGTCACAAGTTGAAGACTCGAATTCAGTACATATTCTGGATAAATCCCATCACGTGGGAGCCGACGAGGCTTGATGAGTACGTGGACGATCGTCAGTGGGAACCACGCGGTTGAGCAAATTGTCCTTGCCGAGGCTGTTGGCACCTAGCATCTGGTTAAATCACTTGGCTACATCGCTGGCATAACAATAACCGTTGTCATAATAATCATTTGAATTTTACTGGACGATGAGGATTCAACGGAGACGGTGGTGAGAGGGGGAATTCAATCACGCGGTCGACATAAATTTTCAGCGTCGTTTTTTTTTTGTTTTTCGATTTTTTGAATAATTTTTTTTCGGCGAATATTGCGAATATTAATCGAGTGGGGTATCTTGATATGACGAGTGAGATGAGCCGCTGCCGCGAGGCATCATCGCTCGGCGACGTGGTCAGTTAGCCGTCCCGTTGTCCATCAGTTGCCAATTAATTAACTCGGGGGTTGAAACTAATGAACAAATTATTGTTTTGTACGAGTGATTTTTGTGAACTTGTGCGTTATTGGTAATTGAGTCGTGTGTCAATTGAATGGAAATTCAACGATTGAATGATTCAAGTGGTTGATTATTTGAATTATTTATTGCATTAAACTTGGGGGAAAAAGCGTGAGTGTGAGGATATTTGAATTGATAAATTCAGCATCTTAACCGGCGATCCGCAAGTACGCGGAATCAAAAGCAGGCAGCGTGGAGCGCTCACCGATAGTGTGGCCGCGTGCCGCGGACCTTTGCTTCTATCAACCAGGTACAGTTTCAAATCCATTAATAACCGAGTACAAGAGAATGAAATATCGTTGGTGTAGGCATTTTAAATTGATGAAAATGCGCGATGACAAGTTGAAATGAAGTAAAGTAGATATATCTGGGGATGACAGACCACCGGGCAGAGCGAGAAAAACGGAATAATTTAAGTTTTCGGGGTCTGGAGAACAAACGAGTGGTAGAGGGAGAGAAAACGAGACTGGCTGAAGTGGCAATTGCTGGAAATTGTGCCAAGTGCAGCTCGTATTGTAGAGTTTCAATTTTATTTATTTTTTGTATATATATATTTTTTTATCATACTCTCATCGTCCCTCCAAGTGGCGGACAACTTGGCACAAACACGACGGTATTATGTTCGGGTGGGGCATATTCAACGGGTATTGAGAGAGAGACAGATGGTATAAATATCACGGGATAGAGTGTGTCGGCTTGCGTGATATTACGAATTCGACGGGATATGATTTTTGACGGAGAATAATTCCCTCGAGAGTCTGTTGAAAAAAAAAAACCAATGAAACATTGAAAAATAAAAATATAATTGAAAATGAAAAAAATAAAAAACAATATTCACACAGATGTGTACACGTTTTGGGGTAAAAATTGGGGCCATGAGGTTGAAAATATAACGGTTATCATAGCGTTGATGATATCGAACTGACTGGTGGATAAGCTCTATCCAATACTTGACTCGATTTGGAACGCGCTCCACTTTATGTGCACATTCGACTAAGGAGAAACCCTCGCCAGCAAAGTACTTATAGATCTCCCCTCCCCCCTCATTGTTAGTACCCCACACCCCCTGTATGCATTCACATTCTTATTTATTCATTCAGCCAACCTACAACCCCTCTTTTTCCATAGCACTACGTTACTCTCAAGATAACCGTCTCAAGATTTTCGAAATTTCCGACTGAAAACTTTCCAGACGAAAGTATTGCCCACCTGGAAAGAAATATTGCTCGATTAAACTTTTGAATCCACATGCATTCTGGATCAGGGAATCGTGAAGGAAATACCCTGGTCATTTATTATTGTCAGCCATTTCCATGTAAATGTTGATTGTCAATGAGAGCTGTAAATAACTCGGGGAAAATAATGTGGAGAATTTATTCCTCTCACGCTCATGATTTAAATGTCAACGTCACCACTAAAACATCAATCTCCTTGTGTTGAATCAACTAGCCACTCGATGCCACTCCCAGGCATTCCACATAATCAGCTTAGTCCCTCGGAAGCAGGTTCCATTGAAACCGGGTGTCTCATCGAAATTTCAAGTTGTATCGCCTCCGGGTTAAGAGGACTTGTGAAGAGGTTTTGGCACCGAAGTAGTCGGCCAACAGTCGATTTAATTTTCACATTTTCCGGTGGAGTAGTATATTCCCAAGTGTATGACTACGTTCAACTCCCCTTTCGACAATGAGGATATGTTTCTCTACATCCCTATATTTGCAATCGAGACCCCGGAACGGCTGGATGGGTACATACCATGACCCGAATCCCTAAGTTACCGCCGCATACGGTCACGGGGAAAGCCCAACGGACAAGCACGTAGTAACCTAGACACCCCTTCATGGACAAGATCCTCAGAGTCCCTCCCGCCCTTCCTCCTTCCACCGATCTACCCTCGGCAATCCCAAACACCCCTCCTTTGTTCAGTTACTGTGTTTGAACTCTCAACTTGCCTGCATATTAAATCTTTCACAGTATGACTGAACTACTCGAAAACATGCTCATATAAATGCTGGTGGGGGCTTTGTGTGGCATGTGCCAAGTTGACAACTTATTTTCATGAATTTTCACGTTAACCCGAGTATTCCGTGGGCATTTACTCAATGAGTAATTCGAGGCAACATCTGCCCATCATTTGACGAAGGACAATCGGGTTTTCTTCATTAACTTTCTACATGAGTAGTTTGCAGCTCTTAACCTTCCCTTGGAAATTTACAACCGTTCGTAAGAGGTCTGCAATCGAAGGGTCGGTTGTAAAGTCAAACCTCGAACATAAATTTTTACTGGACTTAAATGTGAAGTGAATTTCTATGGCAAATACTCTTGAGGTATTTGAAGATATTTTGAGTGGAATATTCCGGAGATGAGGGAAAAGAAAATTGAGAGATACAAATAGTGGAGAGAAGTGTCTTTGAGACATTAATTCTCCAAAATTACAGCAGACACTCTCAAACTTTCAGGGGTGGGTCAGACCGAATTAACTGAGGGAAGGGACTTTTTGAAGGGCAATGAAGAACATCTGGTGTTTGTCCGTAATGTCCCTAATGTTCAAAATTTTCTCGAGCAAAAAGAGGAGAACATTATGACCATAAAATCTCCCCTTTCATTTCTTTTTTCTCTCCTGGAAAATTAATTTCCCCGGAATTACCGGGTATAAACCCACTGTTTTTATGCATTAGTATCACCATACTCGATATACAGTTGGCAGTCTTAGTATTCTGAAAGCATTTTGCATTCGATGTTGGTAAAGAGCCGCACTTGTTGACGCCAAGGGACACGGTTAGGGAATCGAGAAAAACGTAGGCAGTATTTTCAGAACGCAAAGGGTGTGGTATTTGTGAGTGAAGGAGGGACACAGGAGAGATGACCCAGAGGGATACAATGTTGGAAAGCAAAGTGAGTGCGCGCAGTGGTCAGACTGGCTGAATCTCGAGGGAGAATTCTGGGACCACAATTCTAAATCAGGTTTCTCTCCCTCGTGAGTCTCTACACCTCGTTTCTTTCGATACTGGAAACATCTGACAATTTTCGGTTTCCGAATTGTTGAAAACTATCAATTTAGAGATAATAGAGAGACTGGTTGCCAACAAATACTTGGTAACTCTTGGCGTGATTTTATTCTTCATACGGTGGATTTTATTTTATCCTTTTCAGTCTAGAGGATTAAAATAATTCTGTTCTGGGGATTATTCATAACAAAAGGAGAAATATTATTCATGCGCTGTTGGAAAATTTTGACTGAAATTCATTATTTGATTGAAAATTCAAGTATGTCGAGAAATTTTCGTCTTCCTGTTGCTAAAAAATTGAAAATTAAATGTTTTTTCCCCGAATCAAATTCATTTTTTTTTCTGACAGTGTAGATAGGGCTAAAATATTTCCTTGTAAAAGACTTTTTATCATCCCTGTGTGGACAGATGATAAAATTTGATTATATTCATATAAAACTTGAATAACAGCAGCAATAATATTTCTCAAAGTACCACCATTTGACATAGTATCACTGAATCGAATGGTTGCACGCGTTCACGAACGTTTTCCCATGTAGAGCAATAAACACAAACTAGCGACTTCCGCCTGAGAATGCCCAATGTCAGGAATGTGTCTTACATTTCAGACAGATTCCAATTCTCCACTCAATGGATACTATATCGAATTTATCTATCTCGTGAAAACCAGTACTCTATCCAGAAATACGAATAGAACAGTATTTTCTTGGAATTCTCCTATGATTTCATCCATTCTCCGCTCATTGAGACGCGGAGGAATGAGACGAGACGTTGGACTGTTCGTCGTGGGGGTTTTGAAATTAAATTCCCGGTGTTAGGTACTTGGAACTCTAGCGCACCGCGTGTTAGTGGAAACTCCTCGGCACGAGTCAGACGTGTCCGTGGATTTATCGTCACCTTCGTTATAACGTGTAAAAGTGTCTACGTGAGCATGCGACCTAATACCCAGTGACTCGAATATGAACGTCGAGTTAGCATGCGACGATGTGTTTCGACGAGTTTGCGAATATTCTCCACCCCTGAAATAACAATTTTCGTTGGTTAAATACTCATCACAAAGCCCTATTATTCAAAACTAGAGACTGAATCGTTCTATTTATCCTTGAATATCACTCCAAGTGAATTGATTTTATTTATCAAAGTTGAATGAATGTTGTCTCTGTACGAGAATATAATGATAAAATATTGACAAAGCTGTGTGTATGTGTGTGTGTGTGATATATATAATCTTTGTGTCACGTATGAGAGAGTAGAGTTCTGCTCACATCAAAAGCAATTTATACGATTATATGCATGGCACCTTCAATGCGCCTTAATCAAATAAAAGCAGCCCCCTCTGAAAGGCACTGTGTGTTGACGTGCGCGTCGTCTGGTAGAATATACCTCTGGATGTTGCTTCACGACGTGTGTTACCCCACCTATCCTTCTTCTTCCATCAGTATCGTAATGCATTGTGTTGGGAAAATTTCTCGGGTTTTACTTCTGCACATCTTTTCAAACGCCTACACAATAATAGCAAGCACTGCTTGTCTCCGTCAACAATCACACACACACACACACACACATACTCTATTTTTTTTTTCCATCGAAGAGAAAAGATGAAAACAATGAAGAAAACAATGACTGGAAAAAATGAACAGGAAAAAAAAACTACAATGTAGACTGTCTTCAATGTTCACACGAGTTGGCTGAGAAATGCTTTTGAAGCGTTCTCAAATGCATTCGAATGTTTCCAAATACCACCGAGTGGAATAGGCCGACGGGCGAGAGATGCTAGGACTCGCCCCGGGGACCAGTGCCAAAATCTCAAGAGGGCGTCTCTCGTCTCCACCTACCCCCGTATCTACACCCTTTTCTGCATCCCACCCCTGTACACACCCGGTATTCGTCTTTATCTCACACCCACTTCCAGTCCTCTTCCTTTCTCCTATCACCCTCTAGCCCCCTCCACCCTCGTCACTACCTCAACATATACCCATTCTAGAGGTACCGTGCTTTGTTATGTTAATTGTTTCAAACTCCGAGCATCATCGCTACGTTTATTTTCCATTCCCGTTTCCTCTCTTCCACCGTTCGTCTACCCCTCCTCCTCCTCCTCC